GGAAAGGTGTTCTTCGCTAGAGCGCGAAGATAACCTAAAAGAAAGTTTTTTTAAGAATCTTGGCGTAAATGTCATACAATATGACACCAGTTCATCTCGAACGTTCTTATCGTCCAACAAAAAACAATACCAACATGGCGACCGCGAGAACTTATAAAAGAGAAAAAAATTACGGGGTTGCGGCAAAATTATTTTTGAATCTCTTGCCGGGAAAGTAAAATCTCAACTGTCTTTTTCGTGGACTTCAGGAGTCCATCCAAGAAAATTCGGTGAGACTGTCTTAAATAGCTCATGGCAGCTCGTAGGCCTACATCCTTTCCAACTCATTGATGATCATTCTGTCGTCTCTCATGTGAGGTTATGCGCTTGACAAAGCAATGTTAAATGAACTAAGAATGACATATAGCAGGCCAAGCATATTTTACGGTGTCCTTGAACTTTGTGTATCCATAGTACGTCACTGAGGTTACACTGCCAAGTGCATCAACGTGACATCACTCTAATTATTATCGCACGCAGTGCCAGAAATAACATGTCACGGGCCTCAATTACCATTCTTACTCAAACATCTTCTGAGAACTGATGTGTAGATCACAGTCAGTGTTCGGAATCAGTGGAATTGCACTGACTTACGTGATAAGAATACATTCAGGAACTACTTTCAGCTATTCAGTTCCACATAATATATCACCCCGTTTAATTCACCTAAATTAGCATGCCTTACTAAGACACAAAAACTTAGGAACAGATTTCTGATAACACTGGCACATTTATTTGTTTATATTTATTTAACGACGCTTTCAGTACTCATACTCTCTTCCTTCGAATGAGACGATGATAGGGAATAATGAAAGAACTGCAAAGGATGTGAAAGGAAGCGGCCGTGACTTAATTCAAGGTAGTTTCGGTATTTGCCTAGAGGGACTGATAAAAACCACAAAAATCTTTAGACAAGATAGTCGACTCCCGGACAGAGATTTAATACAACGCGATTACGAAACAATAGCGCTAATCACATGACTAAGATATTCTGATGACATGAGAGAGATAAAGTTGTTCACGTAAAGCTAAAATTGCGAAACTGAAAAGATGAAAATTTTCAGGACAGGTAATAAAGCGCTTTTGTTGCCGAATAAAATAGTTGTTCTCTGATAATTTCTGTGCTTACAAAGATATATCGTTGTTAATTCGTTTCTTTATAATTACAATATTTAACTTATTTCTCTTAACATAAATAGTAAGAAGGTGCAATGTGTCCCATTTGAAACAACCCAACAACCACATACTATAGTACAAAGCTTAAATCAGAAACATATCCACACCGTGTAATAGACTCTTCAAACATCCCTCATGACACTCTAGTCAAGGTCACCCTTGTCGCTAGGCCGCTGATCATTTGCGAGTTGCGCGAAATCTGTGAAGGTGCGAACATTGTCTACTTATGTATGACAGGCCCATTAGCAGTAGTAGTAGCAGCCATCACCCAATTTCATCCTTCAAGGCTACAGAAGTAATTCACTCTCCTTACCGCACGGCTGTAAGTCAACCTTAAATTATGCAGTTTGGTGACGGCTATCGTAGTTAATGTTATAAATTATTAAGATTTTAGATAGGTCCAGATGTTTTTATTCTTAAAATACAGAACTAACTAACTCCCTGGTAACAGAACTCGCAGGTCCAACACCGACAACGATCCTGAGATAACTCCATCCATTTTTCATCCTCACAATCCACCTCCCTAAGATCCATCTTGATATTATCCTTCAATATCTTTCTTGGTCTGCCAGTGGTCGTTTTCCAGAAGGATTTCCCACCAAAATTTTGTATGCGCCCCGTACATCCCCCCCATGCGTGTTACATGTCCAGCCCATCAGAGCCTCCTAGATTTCACTATTCTCCCGATGCTAGGTGACCTGTACAATTCACGCAGCTTCTCGTAGAAAATTGTAAATACCATCTGGGCGCGAACGCAGCCCCGACTACAAAAAATTTACGCACCCGAGTTACCCACATTTGGGGCAATCGCAGGGGTCAACCCAACCCTAATGTGATGGAAGGGAGAACAGCCTTCTGGATCACGGTAACCCCTACGTCAGGTATAACACAGCTGTAGAAAGTCTGTTAAGATTTATTCTCATGCTCGTCTGTTAACTGGATCAATTGGGTATGGTCTGTGAGTTAGAGATGCTGAAAAGCAGTGGTCCTTGTGCAGCTTTACAATACAGCCCCAGTGTCTGTAGACAAATAATAAAACGAATCCACAAATTTTATGCGAAACTTAACCTTGCCTCGCCACAGTTCAGGGTTCTGGGCTGATAAGATACATTTTTCTGGCGAAGTCACGACCGCTACAAACCTGGCTTTTCAAAGTTCTCCATACAAATTGCTCCACAGTAAGCACAACTGGCGGCTTCAACACACGCTTAGGACACGAAGGTGATGTAGATTCACTTTACGAATTCTATTCCTTGACTTCAGACGAAACTCTATGTTAAGCAGCGGTCGTTTCACGTCCATCACAGAAATTCGTTCAACAGCCATATTGGTATTAATTATGGAAAGGCAATAAGGCGATCTCAAGTGGCATGATATTTATACGTAGTTTCATTTCGTTCAGTAGTTAAAAATTATTGGACACGATCCGAAATACCTGCGTGTTCTTGAAAAATGATAAATTGGAACGCAACTGTCACTTCCCGGCTCCCAACAGAAACTGCATGACCCCACCAAGCGCCACAAGATTTTCTTGATTCTTGTCAAGCATCGTTGGACAAAAACAATAAAATCGACTTTCCTTTTCTTTATAAGAGGTGACAGAAGTGATGCATTTGCGGCAGTTTTCTTCCGAGTTATCAGTGAACGAATCGTAGAATAAGGAAAGTAGACTCAAAACACATGTAGTGAAACTTCAGATTCTCAGTGTCTTCTGGGATGTCGCTCCGTGTAGTCTGGTAGATATTTTTAACGACGTCAATTTCTATCTGACAACATGATTCAGCATCCCATACGACAGTTATCTTATTTAATTAACTCCCCAGAACTACTCGTTAAGATTTAACACATTACATATCATACTATTACAAACAACAGATTAAATTTTATAAAATGTTCTAAATTCTTAAAGTGAATGCATAATGAGAACGCATATCCGCCTGCTTGCCAGTATGTTTCGCATAAGGGATTTGAATAACATTTTGTGTGTTATATCTATCTTGAAATTTGTGGAGTGAATTTCTATTTGGTCTATTTACGTTTAGAAAATATTCAAATAATTGCATAAAACATCATGGGGTCTATGGCATCATTACAGTAACTTTAAAATAAAATTACATCAAATATAATTTATACTGATCCTTAGAGGTTTCTAACATTAAATAAATCGTCACTCCTTAATTATGTGGATATTAGTCCATTCCCTGAGGTATGACATGCACAGTCTTTTCGGAGTTCGCACAATAGCGTCTTCAAGCGATCGCATGAAATTGGTCTGATTATTTGTTACAAGTCGAATTCTTCGGAACCCTAACTGAATCACGCCAGCCATCGATTTTAGCCCTTTAAACGCTGTAAACGAGATTATATGTAGCCATGGACACAGAAGATGGAATTTTATTGCATGGAATTCAGCATGGATAGTGTTATGAGTTACCAATCATCTAGTAATTTCTTATATTATTGTGAAACCTCATAATAAAATAATTATAAGTTCTAAATACATTACTCAGGCAACGAGACAAGCACGACAAAGTTTTACCAAATATTAATGTTCCTTAGTATAATTTACTTTCGTATTTGAATCATAAGAAGGCCTGCATATTTAGCTTGCTTTTAGTTCATTGTAGCTTAAGTACGGTGCTTTGTTTATCGTACATTAAAATTACTGGTAATGTAGACCAAATTTCGTAATTTTATAAATATTGATTTACGATATTCATCTCCAGTGAAAAATGTGTCCCACGGCAATCACTTATATAAACTGAACACAAATAGTGCGATCAAATGTAAACAAACCAATATTGCGTTTCAGAAGCGCGAAAAATCGGAATATGAGCCTCTGGCATGACTGCTGACGTAACTACGAGGGATATAGTGTAAGCAATGTATTATTGGAACTGAAAAAAACAGCGCTCAAATCCTAATTGCTTTTCAACAATGTCGTCTCTTCTCTCGCACACATTTCTAAAATGCGTCGTTATCGGTGCTCCAACAGGTATCGGAACTACAATTGACAAAGTCTTGAACTTTTCCTTGCTATGAACGACATAACTCGCTTTGGAAAACCGGTTTCTGAATCGGTCCCACAATGAAACAACGCAGTGAAGTTGATCCAGACTTCGTGACGGTGACAATCATACTACGTCATCAACATCTTTTTTTTTATGTTTCCCCCTCAGAATTGGTTACTTAGATATGAGGTAGGTCACAGATCGACATGACTGCCTTCAGACATGGAGGGAAGCTGCGAGTAGGCTATGTTAAATTAGCAGTCACAGATAGCCAAAAATAGGTGGTTCTCACATTTGGCTGTTGGGAGGTCTTAATAACCTTTCACTGTAAAATTAACATTTTTAAAATGGAAGGTAGATGGCACACATTCCGTATTGAAAAGTGCAAAAACTGCAGGGATGAAACCATTAGGAAAACCTGTATGCAGATGGGATAATAATATTAAAAAAGACCTTTAAAATAGAATATGAAAATGTGGACTGGAATCCACTCAGGATAGTGTCCTGTGCCGCACGGTTATGAACTTCCGGATTCCATAAAAGCCGGGGAAAAATTTGGCCATCTGAGCGACTACCAGATTCTCAAGCAGGATTATGATCCATTCAATTACGTAGCTACTTGGTTGAATTCCTAAGCCTGCCACCACAAGACAACAGAGGGGGAAATATCCATGCCTTAAGACAGCCATCTACAGCGCACAGGCAGACACTAAATAACTTCTCCGGTTAGTGCAGTGTTATCAAACAAGGGCTCACCTGGCTGCCACCCACACACTACCAGTTCTCTCTATAACAGCGGCAGCACGGGTCGAAACTTTGCAGTCGACCGCGAGTACGCGACGCGCTAGTAGTGTTTTGATCGACACGCGTGTGTGAGGCGAGACGAGTCGAGTCGAACCGAACATCACAAGGTGAGTAGTGCACATATCAGAGCGTGTGAAAGCGTCGATCAGGAAGAACATCCGTCGCGTTTTCTGAAAACGGTATTATAGGAAGGATTTTAATTTGTGATGTTTACAATCGAAAACGCGTGTGTAAATTTATGTTCTGCCTTCAACCGCAGTCGAAACGTGAAACTTCGCGTTATATTTAGGCTGTTGAATTAAAGCAGGAAGGTTTTTAATTTTTATGAAGTGACATTAAAACGATTTACAACACTTGAGAAATTTTACTCTCTACCATTACTTAACGCGTCAGCTGTTTGTTCGCTGTCGAGTTAAGGGTGTAATTTATGAAGTTAAGATATAAAGTAATTTATAAAGCGTAGGTAAGTTTATATTCTACCATATACATTTGTAGAAACGTGAAACTTCGCGTTATTTGTTGGGTGCTGATTTAATTAACTGAAGTGGAAAACGTCATTTACAAAGCGTAGTAAATAGTATTTTGTACAATCCACTGGAGCCGAACCCTGAAACTCCACATTATTTGTCGGTTCGTGAATTACAATTTGGGGTATGTAATTAATGTACTGAAGTTGCAAAATCTGTTGCATTTCGTGGGAACGTTTGTCTTCCACTGCCCATAGGATTCTGTGGAACTTACGGGACAGGATAAAAGCATTATCTGCTTGTTTATTATATGGTGCAGTGCGTGCGCGGTTACGTAACAAATGAAATGATGATGATGAAATATTGTTTCTATTCAAACCGACTAAGACATGTGCCTCTTTTGCTACACCACGTTTATTAGACCACCTATGAACAGGCGCCTGTAGTTTCTACAGTGTAACAAAGTTTAAACAAATATTATTTTTCAAATTATGTAACAGCTTGCAACTTCACAAGCGTGTGTCTGAATATCATGTGTACTCCAAGGAAAGTAATCTCGCATGCATAGTTCTTACGACAGATTGCTAGGGCAACCATAGAAAATTGTCCGCTGGCTTTCGATTTAAATAAGCGGCAGGGAATCTTTGAATTGAATACCACAACAAATCTGTTTACGGCCGCGAAGTCAGATTGTGTTTCTGTGGTTTCTTCTAATGTAGTATACGTACATTATGAAGCTAACCGTTTTCTTGGTTGTTGCGCCATATAGCGTTGTAGAAATTTGCGGACGTTTCAGATGAACTTGCTACCTCCATCATCAGAAAGATAGTTTACATTATGTTTGTTGTGTGTGTAGGAAATACGGAACATTTTTCACAGTGAGGATTTTTCCTCTAGCCTCTGCGTCCAGACCGGCTCTGGGGCCCACCCAGCCTCCTCTCCAATGGGTACCGGGGTCCTTTCCCGGGGGTAAAGCCGGCCGGGGCGTGATGCTGACCACTCACCCCCATCTAGTGCCGAGGTCAAGGAAGAGAGGAGCTATACCTCCTCTCACCCCAAACGCCTACACGGCGTATAGTGGGACAAACTTTACTTTACTTTACTTTAACATATTACTAAGGTGATCGCATGAAGCAAGCTGAGATTGGCAGGACATATAGCAAACATGGGGAGATGAGAGTTGGCGTAATAGAATACAAGTTTTGAATCTTATATGAAAAGAGATTACTTTGAACTACGGGTTCGAAGTTTGGACTTGAACATGTGAGAATAACAACAATTATAATCGTAATATAACTAAGCGCGCGGTGAAACTGTGAGGATACATTCAGGAAATTATTTCATTTTCGTCCGCGGGTAATGTTTTACTCAACTTTCCTAAATATCAAGCCCATGAATTAATTTTTTAGTTTTCCGTTTAACATTGAAATTGCGTTGATTCATGAAACCAAAGTTATTTGTGCAGTAGCATTCCGCCGTGAGCAACCATCAACTAACCACTTGGTTATGGGACAGCCCTCTGACTGTTGCTACTCGCTTATACACTTCGTGGATTATGTGCAATAGGTTTCACAGTGCCTTAAGCCTCGTGGCCATCGGGCTTAGCCATTGTCTCTTCACAGAGGCCAAGCGCTTTGAAGCCTGTACAAAGGTTCAGATGTCATAGTGGCATTTCCGTCTACTTCTAGGTCTTCCTATATTCTTCCACCGGATTCATGTGCACGCCATTTAACGATCCTACGATCTGCATTGTCGTCGGTGTTTGCCAACAACTACTTGCACTTTTCAGTATGTTTCTTGGTTTTTGTTTCGTAATTCGTGCGATGCAAGGAGAGGGTGCAATACTCGGTGGAACACATTTGAAAATAGCTGTTTCTTATTTCTTATCACGAGGTCTAGTGATTGGGCATTTAACGGGCATCACAAATTAAACATTTTTTCCTACTTTCCGAAAGTGAAGACGCCAGCTTCCGAAACGTCGTGTGTACAGTATATTTTGTGTGTTCTTTGCACTCTAGCGTGAGCGAAGAATACCTTATGAGACCGTCCATGTCTTCCTGTCGCCGTTTTAGCAACACTGAGACAGCATTAAATTACTTTAAAAACATTGTTGCGCAACAATGACTTCTTATCATTATTACAGCAACGGGCTGCGTGATCTGGCGTGAAGAGTAACTTTCGGATGGCAGTGTACTTCGAAGAGTACACCTTTCCAATCTTGTTCATTCAAGCAACGGACATCATGCATAGACAATTTGGCTATAGTGGTTGTATACTGTTGTGACAAACCGTCGAAACGTCGTTACGTATGACACTATTGTTAATCTGTATCATGATATTGCACAGTATTTTTGCTTCATGCAGTTCGTACAAATTACTGACAATGAAAGTCCACTAGTCTCTCGGCCAGTGATGACCTACATGCCATTACGCATTGCGTATTATGCAAGCTGTCGTCACTGGCTGCCAACAAAAAACAAATAAGAGGACTCAGAAGTTGTCAGTGTGACATGCAGTTGAATTGTCGAAATGAACGTTCTTCGTAGTACATGACCGGGTGTAGTCCAGTTTGAAAGAAGACAATTGGACGTAGTTGGCGGATTTCCTTAAACCACTTTTCCCTTTCCGTGATAATCATCTGAACTTGTGACGCAATTAACATTTTTAATATCTTGTTTCTCGTTTGTGGAAATGTCAACTAACTAACGAACTAACACGTGTCACGTAATTTTCATTTCTGTACGACAACACCACAAGCAGAAGTCGCAGGTTCACATTCAGACCAGACGCGTCCTTCCCCTAGTACGTGCTTAAGTTGTAATGAAGTGAAGACCAGGTAGGTTCTCCTTGTCTGTCCGTATCCGCTTACTCTTGACTGACGTCTGAAGACATTTTCATTCATCCTATCATTTAATAGTTTTATCTCTTCCTAGCTTTATCTTGCGTCTTAAATTTCGTCCATTCTTGCCCTTGGGCGCGACCCAGTGGTCCGGACTAAAAACTCATTACACCTATGTATAGTTACCCTTGTCCTGATCCTAACAGTGCTGAAAGGAACTGTTTTCTGTGATGTACCCAGGAAGATATGAGAATCACACATTTCGATTAGGATAAGGTAAGTTTTCCAAGTAAAAACTGTGTCACATAGATGTCGCAGGAGTAAATTTTAAATAATATGCAATTCTGTAGTGATTTATGCACATTTAAGTAAAATATATATTTGAGCATTTTATATCGTAATTTGTTGTTGTTGAAGGAAACGAAATTTAGTTATTCGGTATCAAAAAGGTGCCAGGAGGGACTTTTTGGCCCAGAAGTAAAACGGGCAAACTCTTCTTGGCCCGCGGAAAGAAAAGTTGGACCATCTTACAACAATTTATGTAGGGATAACACGACAGCCACCGGAGCGTACTCTCACATTGGACTGTTTTAACACCGAAGATTTTCAGCAAATCACATACTAAGAGTAAGATTAATTAGGCACTAAATAATTAAGATTAAATTGATGGGTGGGTGAGCGAGTACGTGGATGTTTGAGAGAGTGACTGAGTGTATCATTTAGGTGGATGTTCAAGTGAGTGAGCAGGCAAGCGTGTGACTGCATGAGTGGATGACCACCTGAATTACTTTCCGTAGTTCGGTGAATGGAAGGTAAATAACACATTATTTTAGCTTGGCATGAATACTTCATAAACTGTTTGACGCACAAATTAAAAACTTCAGTATGGTTTTGTTGCAAAAAGGAGCTTCGCGTGTTTCAATAGGAACTCTTAAATCAGTTATTTTTAACATTCACGAGTCTGGTTAAATTACGAATTTTTGCTTCGGTTTAAAGAAACAATTACTTCTAATTTAGCTTCTGATGCCCTTGTAATTGTATATGTGAGTAATGCTTTGCCAATGAATAATTAAGATTTTAAGCAACGTTGTGATTTACATTCAAACGAGCCTTAGACACGGATGACTCCTCACCAGGCCAGAAACTATGGGGGTACTTGAGGCTGAAACAAGGTCATTGGAGTTTCTGAGGTCCATGTCGCTCTTATCAGCTGTGCTATTACTAAATCCTTTATCGACAAGCCAGCTGGAATGAGGTGATCGTTGCCAGACTTCTCCGTCAGCTCATGAAGGCACACTTCACGGTAGTTCCTGCCGTATCCTCTCAGACAGTCTGGTTGTGCATGATTGAATAAAATCTCCAGAAATTTAATGTTTCAGTCTCTGAGGAAACTTTCCTTCGAATCCATCTTCGCGACTTCCTTTCTCGCTTCTTGTAGCTCCCCCCTTCGTTGTTCCTTTAAACATATGTAAAATGTACTTTGTCTGCATGAAATGATTACCATTTTCACACACACAAAACACTATCAGACAAATTTGTGTTCATATTTTCCCACTATAACGAATATTTAACAGGAAGTAGTATTTTAGGTTCTCGCGGCGGTGAGTCCGAAGATGTTGCGCAATGTAGTCTGATTGAAGTTTGCCGACGTTTCAGAGGTTTTTGCTGCCCACCTACACTCAACATGAAACTCGGATCGACGTTTAAACGCCACGTCGTATGTACAGTAAACTGAAATACGACACAAGACTGCAGACAAGCATGTCCAATGATACATCTGAGATTTTACGGCTGCGAAAATCTGGATTGTGGTCTTCTAGTTTATGGCGCCGTTAAGTCTCGTACGTACATCGAGATCAATATTTCCTATTATTCGCATAGGACATTCCACGATCGATACATATCCTTAAAACAATCAACTGCTATTGGCCGAATATCAACTACTATCTTCGTTATTATGCAAACTTTATCATTATTACTTTGTTTATTAATGGAAATGGTTACTTGGGAGATAGATTAAGAGGAGGGGGCTGATATACTACAAGGTCTTATTACATAAATGAGTTATTTGTTTTATATTTACAATTTTTCTAAGAGTTCGTGTTTTTTGTTCGGTTTACTAAGTTAACAAAGCAATAACTTTTTTTTAATATTACAATTTGTGCCAAGACAATAAACAACATTCCTTGGTGTCATAATCCTGAAGACCACCCAATCCAAGATCTATAATCATTTTATGATACTTTTTTCTATATTTATTTATAACGAAATACAAGGAAACGGCGCGTGTCTTTTACGTACCCTTTTATTCTCAAAAGCTTCTTCAGAAATATGATATATAATTATGTTTCTCTACTGTAGATGGCTTTGCGTACTCGAGAATTGAAGATCCTATGCAGTGTTTGTTTGATTGGCTTTGTGAATCCTGGATTTGTATATCTGGAACATAAAAATCGCGATCTTTGTCGTAAGTAAAATTTCAAAGAAGGTATAGTACAGGAATACTCCAGGTTGAAGTGTGACGCCTTTGTTTTAATTGTTGCACATTATGACGAGCATCTATGTGGACGGGAATACGAAGTATTCTAATCGAATCCAGCACACAATTAGACAACCTAATTCACCTCCCCCTAGCGTTCAGTGGAGATCAACGTGTTGAATCGATACTGACACAGTTAATAAACGCATGTAGTTTGACATACGCCTTGACTAGAATAAATTATCTCTTGAAAATTGGAGAGAAACGTTGCTTGGTTTGCTGTGTCGTAATGAATCGGTTAAACTTGGAACAACATCCGTGTATGTACTTCGGTGTCCGAACGCTCGCCTGCCAGACGGTTTCGATTCCGGACCAATATGTTAAAATTTTATCTATAACCCTGATTACGCGAAATACGGACCTGAATTTGGGTCGCATACCTTTTCAGTACGTGGGGTTTTATATTCCCTGGGCCGTGGTTTAGTCCCCTACCAGCGCATCAACAATGTTATGAGGGACTGAAAATGTGAAATATCTCTTTTTCGGCTTAATTTCTGTACTGATTCAACAAAATCCTGATATTCGTGACTTACGAGACACAGACACATCGGTGCAATTACCTGTATTGCAGCTTAGTGTCTTGTCTATGTTAAAAATGGAGTAGGGATATGTAAATTCATTTTAAGAAGTCAGCACACTTTCTTCCGAAATTCACTATGTTTAAATGGGTGACATTTGAAGTGTAACCATTTTAACACTGTTCTTATATAAAAACCTTGAAATTTTAATTTCTGATTCGTCTGTAAATTTAGTTTGGACACCAGTATTTATATTATTTCAGGAATTATTCTTATTGACATAAAGACTTATCTCTCTAACATGCTGTAACCGTCTCCTCACGTTCACTTAGCGCCCTCTGATAGATCAAGAAGATGTAGTCTGCATATTTCTACAAAACGTTGATATAGATATGGACAAACAACTTGGAGTAGGGTGAAGAGACAATTGTATGAAATTGTTAGCGATTCTGCGCAAGAAGTGAAAGAATGACTTGAATAAAAATATAATACCCTTTGTCAATTAAACGAGATTTTAAAACACAGAACGTTCACTAACCTTGCACAAAGGACCTGGCCTGCTATCCACAACTGAAACCTGAGATAAATGTTTTCAGCATGGCTTGGGCAAGACTTCCGTTGATTACGAGCCGCTCGTAACTGTCGCTCACGAGTCGCGTAGTTTGCCTGTATCAAACCCACTACATGTCCACACTGAGTCTGAGCCCAAGAGGTTATAATCGATTCCTTTTTGTGTAATTTTCTCCGGCCTCCAGTTACTTCTTGAATCGTAATATTCTCTTCTGCTTCGGTCTCAGGCATTCTCCGTATCTGTTTCCATCCCCTAGCTCAGTGCGAGGGACGAAGTACACACACATTTTAAAGCAACAGGTAAAATTAGTTTTGTATATCTGAATCCAATGGTATTATTAGTATTGAAGTCAACAAAGTCAAATCTTTCTGAACCCTAAAATGTATCACGCCAACGGCTGGTGCTTTTAATACTTGTTTACATGAAACTGACGTAGAATAGAGCAACAGCGAATTGGTTTGTCGTGTACCTGTTCAGAATTCAGTACGTGCCAGAAATGTACAATGTATCTAGTTCGCGTGTGTGACGCCATCTATGTACAACGGACACGAACTATCTCAGTCAGCAAATTGTTCGTTTTAAAAAGAAGACGCTACGCAAATAAATGTGTTACGCCTAGTTAAAGAGGGAGTTGCATAAGAGATAGACCAACTTACTTTCCAGGAACACGCGCCTGGCTGATTCATAAATGACGTGAGCTTCAGGTCATTGCTAGGGTTGGGTCATCTCCATTCTTATGCGGGGAATTTAAGTTTTATTTTCATCATCAGCTGTTAAAATTGGGCTGGGTTCCGAAGTGGCATGCCGAAATGAAACGCACCACGGAATTGCAGAAGGAGATGGGTTCTTTGGCAAGTGGGAATCCTGCTCGTCTCACTCTAAAGCGATATGTTTGCAGGAAAAGAACGTAACTGCTAGGACGACCTTCGAATTATGTCTGGTACTGCGCATTTCACTACCTCCATTAACATTGTATATTTTATTTTCTCTTGAATTTAACTTACATTCCCTTCTAATATTATTGATCTATAGTACGTAAGAATGCCTTGAATGTATATGACTCGCGTTTATTAATGAAGATGTGCTGTTCACAGCCGGAAACGTCGTAGGTGTATACTGTTACCCACCTTTCTCACATTACTTTCAGAATTACGCAAATTTATGGTGCAGCTAACCTGAGGAGGCAGAATGGCTCAACTATTATGTATATTCATACAGAAGAAATTAGTAAAATGATGTCTATTACCTTCAATAATAATTACTGTAGATAATATTGTAAAGACAAATATTTTTGGGTTTAGGGATAATTTTTCCTGTGGTATTTAGCGATTGATGTCTAATGGCCATGCCTATGATAGACGGACTTTCTAACTTGGTAGCTGATAAGAAATGTAAACATTTCTCGAATTTACCCACAGTAACAATGCGGGAATTCTGCTAGTATTATATAGATTTAGTCCGTACCGCAAAGAAAACACTTCATTGAAAAGATCAAGTGGTTAATGTTGTTTAGGAAAATAAATTTCTGTTTACACCGAGAATCGTACGAAACCAATAAATACACCCTATGGGAATAACGAAAATTTACAGGCCGTTAAAGCAGGCGATACGTGGCTTTTGAAATGTTAGGAAAATATCGTAAGGGGATACAAGAAATGGTAACATTTTTGTGGGTGAACTGAGAAAGCGGATATTTGGAAAACCGAGAAGGCGGTAGGTTAACATTATGACTAATTTTAGAGGAATATTGAGTTGTTAGAAGGAACTTCCTTAGAATTGTGTGCAATAGTGGGCTTTGGTATTAGCAAAGTTGAATATTCGGTTTCTGCCAACAGTGAGTTATTTTTATGAAACCTAAATTGAATGTTACGATAGTGGAGCCAATTGCTCCTGGAAGATTGTAAGTCTTGCCATAACATCAACATGGTAGTCTTGCAAACTTGTAGCGTGGCGTGAGAAGACTAGAGTTCTTAAGAATAGTTTCTATAAGGTTATTTTTTACTAAAAGTGAAAAATAACAACACAGTGGGTCCTCGATAATTGACAGATGTCTATTTGACATGTTATAAACACATCTACAATAAGTACGAATGGTGATGAGATCTTCGAGGGCTGATATTTCTGAACCAAAAAGTGAACCATACGAAAGAAAAGTAAATTTAATTATTGTTCTACCCGTTATTGAAAGAAGTGATGAAAATGTCAAAACTTAATTTGATCGAACTTCCTTGAACGTAAATTATCCTTATAGCCTGTTTATCTCGCAGATTTAGTGTATTGGGTTCTATATTTGACAGAACTGCGCAACCCTTATTTTGTCTTACGTTTTATTTTTGGAACAAACTGACCTGCCGAAACAAACAAAAATAGCTTTCAGTTCTGAAGCGGATAAAGTAGAGTGCATTGCCAGTAACTTGCCTTGTTTCGTAATCCTGAAGAAAACATATGTATCTCCCTTTTGCACACTGTAGTGCTATTTCCATATGACCAGATGGGTACGCAGAACTAGTACACACATACCCGATAACTGCACACACACACACCTGCAGTGCAGTATTAATGCACAAGATTTCTTAGAAAAAATCACTATGGGAAGTCTTTGAGCAGTAATTGAGTTCCTTTCAATCAAGCATTCAGGGGCCAGCGGCGAGATGAAAGAAATGCTGAGTTACAAACCGTCGATGTTGGTGCAATACGAATGCATGACCCTTTTAATATCTATCTCTAAGTGGGGTCAATCAGAAGAAACTACTTACATTCTTTTCTTTCGTCCCTGATCGTTTTATTTTATGTGTTCGAGCCCCTTGTTCCCTTTTCGATCTTTCATAACCCCATTTTCTTTCAAGGAGCAGTGAAGTGGCTGGTTAGAGACTGTGGCCAGGATTTGATTCTTGGGAGGGGCATGAAGTTTTCTCTTCGCCACCACTCTCAGGACTCTGGTGGGCCCTGTCCAGATTTATGCCAGGGACATTTCCCTAGGGTGTAAGCCTAAACTTCGCCGTTCATAGACTGTGATTGTTGAGGTTTTCATTTTTTTCTGTATCTCCTGCCGATTGCCAAGATAGTAACTTTAAATAGGCTATGGCTTCTTTCGACATTCTCTAAAGTTGGCCATATAGAATTATCTCCGTACGGATAAAATTCCGCACATGACAGCTATAAAGGAAAACATATCTTCTTCTAAAGGTTGAATCGAACCAGAAGGCTGACGAATGACGACGACCTATCGTGCAGATCGAAACAGCATTAAAAGACTTAATTGTTACGAGGTAGATTCCGCTAGAATGTATGTACCGCTGTGGTAGAAACATCGCACTAAATGAATCGTATTTTTAATTATCGACAGGTATGTTAGAAATATTTTTCAATTTTTGGGTCTGTGTATTTATTCCAGTTAGAATTCCCCCAGCTAAAAAAAAAGTTTCACTTTCTTGCAGCACCACGTGCCTCAACTGTGGGGCTTGGCAGATTTTTCACTCACGAGAGGAAGTGTACAGTGCCATTAGTGATCCCAGACTGCCGCTGATTGGTTCAGCTTTCACCATGTGACAGTCTTCAACTGTCACCAACCAACTAGTCTGACATTTAATATAGTGATGTGTTTTATGATTGTGTTACGAAATGGTGGAGTCATAAATGTCTTCTGCATAATAATTCTACTAGGTTTGAAATGGAGTCGTTGTTCTTTCATGAATTGATGACTTTCGGGTCATAATGCCGTGTCAGTAGGGAGAATGTTTTCTCAATGCGATCGGGCCAAAGACAGCTGTAGAAGCCTGGATTATACTCACGGTGTACAAAGCCACCAAAAAGGGATGCTTCAAAGCAGCAATGAGAATTTTTGTTATAGTTGCAATAGATCAGAAGTAAAAGAGAACGGTGACAAGAAGGAATCCACTGTTGAACATCAAGTTGTGGATTAAACTTGACTCGTATTGCTTTCTTCATGAAGGCCGGACAAGACACTAGTCGCCGAAACAGGCGTCTCGTTTGCAGGGCCGGGTAAGGTCATGGCTCTATCTTGGCTTCGTAAGATTTAATTACAAGCAACTAATACGAACTGCATTAATAATACGCAGCCCTGTACGTCCACACCGCCACGGTGGTCTAGCGGTTAGAATCCCGGGTTCGATTCCCGGCGGTGCCCGAATTTATAACTTGTGTTGGGCAAGGCCGTGATCTAGGCCAGTGGTATTCAACCTGGGAACGTTGTGTTGGGCAAGGCCGTGGTCTAGGCAACACGGGGTTTTCCTCCGTGGCATCCCAACAATTACTCCCTTCAACCACAGAAGAAGGCAATGGCAAACCACTTCTGTATCACCTGCCTAAAAAATATATTTGAACAGGTCCCAGTCCGAGAAAAGGATGGAATTATCCTGTTCATAATATGTCGCCAACCTCCTGTAAAGGAGACGGCGTAATGATGATGATACGTCCACCAGTGCCGGGAATACATAGTTGTACATATGCAGCACCAAGTGCCCACCCCTCTTCAGAGTACACTATCAGTCAGCTGGAACATCTGCAAACTGAAGTGATTGCACTGCAGCAGATGGAGGACTATACTCTGTTCAGAATGTGTATGGAGCTAAAGTAAATATGGACGAGGAGAAATTACAGGCAAGTGACATGCGCAGTTCTTAATCACACAAACCGTTCTTCAGTGACTGTATGATCAGCGCACAAAGGCATTTCCCTGGTACCAGACCAATAGGCTGCCAGTATGACATTGCTCCGTGGCAATGTTTGTTGATGTATGCTCCAGTTACATCCTGAATATATTATTGCATACACTATGCTGATATCTAGACCGTTCGTTCCATTGCCCATAGGATGCAATATATGCCTCAATGTCAACCTCGCCTTTATATGGTGAATACCCGGTTTCGTTGTCGGAGCGACAAAATTGCTGTCGGTTTCGTTGTCGGAGCGACAAAATTGCTGTCGGTTTCGTTGTCGGAGCGACAAAATTGCTGTCGGTTTCGTTGTCGGAGCGACAAAATTGCTGTCGGTTTCGTTGTCGGAGCGACAAAATTGCTGTCGGTTTCGTTGTCGGAGCGACAAAATTGCTGTCGGTTTCGTTGTCGGAGCGACAAAATTGCTGTCGGTTTCGTTGTCGGAGCGACAAAATTGCTGTCGGTTAGAAGAAAATGCCACTACCGACTTCTAAGAGTATGAGTCACGGAGGTATCATTGCATCTAGTGTTTTTGCTTGGTATTATTTTACTGCTGGTTTATGCTACAAGCAGATATTACGATGTCCTTCCATCGAATGACAAGGATGATTAGTGTAAAATGAATTGGAAAGGACGTAGAATGAATCAGTCGTGGCGTAATTTAAGGAACTAATGTTTTCCTGGAGGGACTGAGGAAAACCTCGAAAGATCTCAGTCGCGATAGACGGCCTCCGATGGACATTTCAACCAGGGGCCTTCAACACATCAGCAGGTGTGCTATACACATTTTAAATTCTGTTTCAGCAATTTCAGGGACAAAAACGGTTGTCTGATTTTTGTTTACGGACTGTTTATTTAAATTCGCTGTGTATCACAAGATAACAACTGGTCAGCCATCAACCAACAGGATAGATGAGATTGAGCCGTAAACCACGAAAACGGGGGGTCATATACAATATCGATTCCGACAAAGAATATGATTTGAAATATAAATAAAATATAATTTAATATTAAAAATAAATCAGCCAAACTGAACAAATAAATTTGTTCACAACTTGCATTAGTTTGATTCAGATCCACAAAGACGTTCATTTCTGCCATATTTATCTTTTTTACGCCACGTGTTTTACAAGAATAATCTGTTGAGTGAATTTGGTTTCGTCCCTGATAGCGCTGTAGCTATTGCAGGAGCAAACAACCAAATACAGGTTTCACCATATCGAGTTTTCGATATATGGAATAATTCGAGTGAACTGACTTCGCCGACATATTTTACAGCAGCTTTTGGACCGACGAAGAAAGACATTATCATACAGAGTGTTGATCTTGGTATATGCCATTGTGGCGTCTATAGGAAGAACGCGGTCACAGACCTGTATCTTCAACACTTTACCGTAGAGTTTACTTAATTCCCCACTTTAACTTCACGTGTCTAGTTATGCTTTCATTCCGTTTATCTTGGATGTCAACGAAGGCTGTGTTCACATTCATGGCACGTATGTT